AATCAAAGCTTACATTTCTCATGCCTAAAACTTGTTCACCAGTCACACGCCATATAAAAAGGATGCAAGTCACAGCCTATGAGACAGGAATTACAAAATACAAAATCATATATATATATATGCTATATGACATACTTTACCACATAATTAATCAAAAGAATATTTACTATGGTGATATGGTTTCAGATATCTGCTATAAATTTTAGCAAGAACTGGAAATGCCAGAAAATATGTTTTGTGAGTTAATCAACAAAAATTAATGGATAATTTGGTGGCCTACAAAAACCNATTAAATGAAGTGTTAAAATATACAAAACTATATACAGTGCGTACAATCAAGTGCGCGCCGCGGCTGCAATTTGCCGTGAGTCATACCACCGCAGAACGGATGCAGTCGCGGGGAGTGTTGCAACTCCTCCCTGCGACTGCATCCGTTCTGCGGTGGTATGACTCACGGCAAATTGCAGCCGCGGCGCGCACTTGATTGTACGCACTGTATATATTTTTGTATATTTTAACACTTCATTTAATATTTTCACTTGGATATGGTTCACAATGTTGATCTAACTTGAAACATTAGAATATAATGTGCACTAGATTATACGAGGCTACATATTTAGTGAATTTGTATATTGTATGTGTACTGATGATAGTCATGTGATCAAAATGGGACTGACTGTATTTTATAGAAATGTAATTGTTAATTGTTACCAATAAATAAATATGTCATAGGCTAAGGATGTGTGTGTCATAAAAACGAAATTAATTTTCCATGTAAACCTTGGTTGCATCTGGAGTGCTGTATACTGGTGTTTTAATATCCTTTATGGCTATGTTTCATAACCAAAAAACAAATGCTGCGGCCACACACAAAATCACCATTCAGTATTCTAGCAGAAATAAGACAAGCTGCAGGGCTGGCCTAGTGTCTCTGCCTTTGCCTCAGCACTGCAAATATTTTATGCTTGCTTTCTGAAAAAGGAAATCTATGAGCAACCTCCCCCAAAACGGTGGTTAACCATCGGAATTAAAACTTCTTATAAAAGGAAAAAAGAACTACCTTTCGACAAAGATTCTTTATAACAACAATCTAAAGCAATAATATAAATCATATAGTAAGATCCTGACCAAGGTGATTAACGAGGCAAAAAGACTCAGCTATAAAGATAAAATTACCAACTCCATTAATGCTATTAAAACTACTTGGAATATTATTAAAGTGGAGTTAGGTAAAAACCGCCTGAAGGACAAAACTGTAAAACTGAGAAAATAAATCCAAGTATTTTTAATAATCATTTTTTAAATATTGCTGATATTACTACTAAAAAATTCTACTCAAATTACTTTAAATACTGATAACAATAATTATAAACATTATCTGAACTTGACAGCTAAGGGCCCCTTTCCCAATATAATATTCAGTAAAATAAGAACTAAAGAAATTGAAAAAGTTATTTCTTCTTTGCATTCAAAAAATTCTTCTGGATATGATGAGATTTTGATGAAGACACTAAAAATTGGTGCCCCGTACATTTCTTCCCCTTTATGCTATATATTCAATAAGGCAGTCTTAGTTGGTAAATTCCCCTTACGAATGAAATACTCAGTTGTAACTCCTATATACAAGAAAGGCGATAAGAAGAACTGTGCAAATTATAGACCAATTTGATTGTTAACTTCATTTTCCAAGGTGTTTGAAAAAATAATATTTAGAAGATTATTGACACACATTCACACTTATGACATTCTAGCCAATGAACAATTTGGGTTTCACCCCAAATTATCCACTGAAACAGCTTTATATAACCTGATAAATACAGTTTTAGCAGCTGTTAACAATAAAGAAAAAGTAGGTGTAATCTTCTTTGAATTAAAGAAGGCTTTTGACTGCGTAAATCACGAAATACTTTTATATAAACTTGAATTTTATGGTATAACTGACAACATATATATGTTATTAAAATCATATCTCTAAATCCGATATCAAAGGGTGGTAATTAAAAATGGACCCTTTGATAAGAGTGAATCAGTTTGGGGTTGGGTCAAACATGGAATTCCCCAGGGATCTATCCTGGGACCATTACTTATCCTACTATATATCAGTGACCTATTTTTATCTATAAAATATCTGAACATCAGTGTAAACCCCCAAACAATTTTATTTGCTCATGATAGTAGTGTAATTGTTAGTAATCAAAACAATACTGTACTAGGAAATAACTTCAAGTCAGTCTTCACTAGTGTGATTAAATGGTTTAAGGCATATTTACTCTCATTAAATCTGGACAAAACCTACTGTATGGGATTCCACTCTAAAGATATTATTAATTCCAAAATACAAATTAAATATAACAACAGTATTATTGCCAGTACTACTGAACTAAAGTTTCTTGGACTAGTACTTCACAATACTCTGTCTTGGAAGAGTCACACCGATATGTTGGCTTCCAAATTAAACAGAGCAAGTTATACTTCAAGAGCAATCAGACCTTTCTTATCTTTGAGTTCCCTAAAGATAATCTATCCTGCTTATTTTAATTCAGTTATAACATATGGATTAATTTTCTGTGGAACTTCTTCTCACAGTACGAATATTTTCAGACTCCAAAAGTGAATGGTTAGAATACTAATGGAAGGAAGACCTAGGGATTCTTGCAGAATTTTTTTTTAAATTTGAAATATACTACCTCTAGCATCCCAGTACATACTCTCCTTGGCTCTGTTTATGGTTACCAATAAATCATTGTTTAGACAAAATCCTGAAATTCATAATTTTAATACCAGGAATAATTCTAATTTTTTTCAAGTAATGACTCACTTGACAATGATTCATAAAAGTCCCGTCTATGCAGGCATTAAGATATGTGACCATCTTCCAGCTGACATTAAGGACTTGGCATGTGATATTAAAAACTTTAAAAAGCATTAAAAAGTATTTGAATGAGCATTCTTTTTATACTGTGGGTGAATTTTGTATGCATAAAAGTAGATAAGTATTTTTGATTGTAATAGCAACATCATTGTATCAGTATTTACAGTGTTTTATTATTTTTATATTTTTGACAAAATCTTTCAATGATTGTGTGTCTTATTTATTTATCATTATTTATTAATATTGTACTGTCTTGTATTTTTGACTTTTCTATATTGAATGGTTGTAGCAGTACATATCAACAGAATAAATTAAAATTGAATTGAATTGAAATGGTTGATTGTATTAAAATGAATGCATAATTTAATATTTGTAATCAGCTAGGCTATGGTGCTAGGATAATTCATAATTTGTGCTCAATGTTAGGTATTAGCAACTTCAGGATGCGTTGTTATGAATGTAATACAAGACCTATTTAATGCAAGAGAATAGGTACAGATGGCGTTGATTTATCTAACAGCACTTCCCTTCCTGAATCACATGTTTGCAATGAAAATGTGAAAAACTGGAAAATACCGGATGGGGCATATTAACCTTTCCAATTTCACAAGGTCATTGCTGAGGCTAGGGAGGGGGGTAGAGTGGTGGGGATGGTATCGTTAGGTGCATTATAGCATGCAGTTTTCAGTACACACAATGGCTTGGTCGGGAGAACATCGTTCGTTCGTGCTGGAAGAGTTTATTAAAAACGGCGGTTCTGTGATCAAAACCCAGTGAGCCTTTCGCACTCACTCGGTCGGCGTGATCCCATTCCCACTGGACCAACAAGTAGAAATTGGGCATCAAATTTTAGAGTGACATCTTCTGCATTAAAAAGAAAATCTTCAGGCCGATTGTGGTGTCTGGGGTTCGTACTTCTTCAAAGAAGATGGTGAAGTCGTTACAGTGACTTCTGCTCGATATTGTTACATTCTTAAAAATTTTCTTCTACCGAAATTGGATGAATTATTGCAAGATCATGACCTGGAAGATATCTGGTTCCAATAAGATGGTGCTACGGCCCACACCTCGCGTCATTCAACGGAGATTCTAAGACACATGTTTCCTGGTCATCTTGTCTCTTTGCGGGGTGACATCGGGTAGCCCCCCAGATCGCCTGATCTAACACCATGCCTCAAGGCAAAGGTGTACACACATCGTCCCTGAACTATCGATGAACTGAAGGCTGCCATCACCGAAGAAATCAATGCTATTCCACGGAATATGACTCATAGAGTAATGTAAAACTTCCGAAACAGGCTCCGCCAGTGTATGGAAAACGGAGGTGGCCATTTGGAAGATATTATTTTTAAACCTCATTAAAAATAAAACTGTATTCTATGTCCTTTCAAATAATAAAATAATGTTGCCTGCATCTTTCTTTATTTCTATTCCACGCATTTTTGAAATCGGAAAGGTTTATATGCCCCACCCTGTATGTGTATATACGTATGGTTCCCCATTCTCTCTCTTCAGACTATACATGGGAGCATGTTGCAAGCTGTGTAAGACTTAAGAAGATACATTGGAATATTTGCAAAGGCAAGAACCCACTTTATCCCTCTTATAGGTTTGCATATTACTCCATGTACCATTAAAAATTAAGGCCATTATGTTAAATTTGAAAACACAATCATTATATAACAGGTTATATCACACAGGGATCAAAGGGAATTTGCAGTCTTTCTATCTGGGTGCAGACCAGCAACCATTTTCAGAACTCATCGTTTGGATTCCATTTCCACACTGAAAGAAACACAACACAATCAAATTTAAATATATTGTATATCAATAAATGACACATTTTAACGTCTGGATGGTGTGCCAGAAATGTAGGCTAGAAACCCACCTTTCACAACAGAGTCATAACTTTACAGAGCACAGGGCTACAGTGTTTTGTTGTTGAACAAAATCAGAAGTTATTACTAGCAAGCTGCTCTGTTACTAGTCCAAAAGAATGGCACCTTGGCAGTGGGTGTTTTGACATTAGGAATGATGTGATTTTTGTGTTTCCCTAATGGAAAAGTGGCGCTATTCATGTTGGCTGTTTTCCCAATGAAATTGCCAGTGGCTTTTTCTTTTTGCTCAGGTGACATTGGTAATTACTACTATGGGCAGGGTCATCCCATGAAACCACATCGAATAAGGATGACTCACAACTTGTTGCTCAACTATGGTTTGTACAGGAAAATGGAAATTTATGTAAGTATGTGATTTTCATCCTGGCCTACTGATTCAAATCATAGTTCCATATTTTGATGGGTACACACACACACGCACACATGTATATTGCAGGTACTAATACAGTGGAACCTCACATAACGAGGAAAACAAATTGTAAAAAAATGACTCACTTAACGAGTGACGAGAGGGGAAGTCCCGGATTGTGCGCTTGCTACATCAGTCTGTGTTTAGCACTCGTTCCGCAAGCATCTTAGTGTCGCTTGTGATCACACATTTTTCCAAACTTTTGTTCAGACATATTATTTGTGATTTTTTGGTGCAAAGTTTAATAACCCTTGCAAAAATGTCCCTGAAGAAAAAGCCGCAAAAAGACAGCCATAAGAGAATAAAAATAACCATTGAAATGAAACGTAAAATCATTGAAAAGCGAGAATGAGAATGCCGTGTCAGATTTTCACCCAATTTGGAAGCGTCAGCAAAAACAAATGTCTCTAGACAGCTTTCTAGTAAAAAAGAATTAGATATGTATCATAAACAATAAACTAATAATTTCGATTTTTTTGTGGTTTTTTTCCATGCAAATCGAATTCGCATTCCAGGTTGGTTCATTCTGCATAGAAGAAAAGATGAAGATGATTCACGCTCCTTAACAATGTATATATAATTTTCTTTTTCATTTTCTGGGAACTAGTGACAAAACTATTTCAGTATCCAGTGCAGTTTTTCTTAATTATATTTCTTTATGACAGAATATAATTTTTATTCAAACGGCATTAGTAATTTCAGGAGCTATCTTCATTGGTTGCATCCTATTGTGTGTTCCAGATTAGGAATTAGGTTAACTGTCAGCACAACAGATATACTCTTTTATTGTTGAATTGTAAAATATTAAAAGCAAATATATTTGTTGTGTTGATGGTTAACCTAATTCCTATATATATTTCAGCGGCTCCTGTTTACTTTCACTGAGTGAGGTAACGGAGCATGGATCAGAGCCATAGTCATTTTACACTTTCCAGAATGTCACAGGCAGAGGTTGAATTTGAATGGAGTACATGTTTTATATGTATTTACAGAAAAAATGCGCATGAGATCACAGAAGCCATAGTTTGAAACCGTTATCCTTCATGAGAAGCTGATGTTCATGAAAGTCTAGTCATTTAGAGTCACCACAAATTGAAAGGCAGTTTAATTTTAGAGGTCTGACTGATAACAGTGATGCAGTGTAACCAGGAATCAAGGAAAGCTAGGCATAAAACGTAAGAAGTATATTAATTTGCAACATTACTTCCAGGGGAAGTGATTTAACCTTTAAGAGCCTAGCAACACCGTATGGAGACCTTTATAAAGTGTAGCCGAGTGGCCGTGCGACACCATATAGGTACGCGCAGTCGACGCGTGCGCACAGTGTTTTAAAATCTAATTTTAAGATAGAAATTCTTATTCTACTTACATTATTTTTGGGCACCCGCTTTATAAGTAGACTGTCTTCCCTCCTGCGTCATCTAACTGAATGCAGAGTCCGACGTCGCAATTCATGCACTTTGTCCAGATGTAGCTCCATTTCCCACACTTAGAGCACACACGACACCTCAGTCTCATATTAGAGGAAGTCGGTCAGTGATGTCGAGTGGCCTCCTCTAATCGTAACACTTATAAAACATCACAATTTCAACTATCCACCATGGCCTCATTTCGCATGGAAGAAGCCAAAATTGAGAGGCAGCTGATAAATGACACCGATTCAGACTGTGGTACGGACGACTCTGAAAGTGGCAAGGATGCAAGGGGCTAGGCTTGAACATTCTAGCAGTGTGGGGCTATTCCGAGAATAGAACTCTCTGGTGGCTAGTCCGAGATATACACAGTCAAGAGTTTCTGAAGGACAAAGTACGATAAGACTTTGACCACAGTCGTGCATACAGAAAAGTTCCGACGTGACTGGAGAATGTGCAATACAAACAGAACTTCCACCCCTTTTGCCAGATAAGACATAGTAAGACAGGATGTCAGCAGCATGCATTTATACTGCAGAAAGTTACTACAAGTTACAGGAGTTACTAATCCAGATACTAATCCAAACCTTGTGTCTAGTCACTAACATGCAACAATATGCTGTGTCATATTTTGTTATCTAGAAATGTTACTTGTAATGCATGCAAGTCTGTGCTTAGCGGCCTCCGTGGTCTAGAGGTAACGTTCCCACCTCATGACTCGTGGTACGCGGGTTCAAATACCCGGCGGAGGTAGTCGAATTTTTAAGGGCGGAAAAATTCAGGGAACAAGTCCTCCGGGAGGGACTTTAAGCTGTGTGTCCCGTGTCGTAACTTTACGGCACGTAAAAGAACCTCATATCCCCAAAGGGGATCACTGAGCCAAATTCCAGGACGTTTCCCGCCCAACAATAGTCTCTAAGGCCTCTGATAGATGGGGGAAGCATTATAGACACCGCTAAGCAAGTGGCCGAACTCGCTTGCTCGGCGGGACTGATGGTACGCACCATTTATCGGTAGGGTAAAGAGACTGGTAGAATATCATAGAGGGAAGCACAAGAGATCAAACTGGTCGCGGTGCATGGGGAAACCCACCCTCTCTAAAATAACTAACTAAAAGTCTGTGCTTAAATTGGTGACTTGAGCTGCAAATGTTCTTTTTTATCTTCTATGATTTGCCATAGTATGACCCTGTATATTCACTGTCTCCTCAGTGCATAACTATGTATTCTGTAGTTTCATAGACCTGAGCTGGGTTAAGGTCATCCACAATTGTGTTTTGTGTATAGAACTTTTAGTGTCTTGTTACAACCAGTTGTTTTGCTTGAAGAGTGCAGTCTTCCGGGATGTATCATTGTGTAGTCTGGTAGATTACTGAAACTTTAGAGGAATGTACTGCCTCCATTTTCAGGGTTGCTTACTTCATGCTTGCTCGGCTTATTCTTCAGCCCTGGAGATTCAGGCAGTACGTTCTTTTGAGACGTCAGTAACTTCTACCACATCACATCTCAGAAGGTAGCTCTTTTCATAGTCACCGCTGTCAGAGTGTCAAACCTAACATAGTTATTCCACTTAATAATTGGAAAATGTGTTATAAATTTTGGTGTTGTAGCGCCCACACAAAGCAACAGCAGATGAAATGACCAAATTCCACAGTGATGACTATGTCCGGTTCCTAAGAAGCATCAGACCTGACAATATGTCAGAGTACAATAAGCAGATGCAGAGGTGTAAGTATGCACAACTGTTGTACATACTGTGTTCTCATTTTCATACATTCTTTTGTCCTTCCATCCATCCACCACCCACCAACCCAATATGTAGTATGTAGTATGAGGGCAGAATGCCTTATTGCATAATGTGTCTGTGAGTAGGGCATCCAGAATTATGCACCTTGCAGGGGCAGGATTAGGCCAATTCTGAGGCCTGCTCAATCTCCAAGGCAAAGGGAGCTGGGAACTGTTTTCCATGGAAGTAAAATGATGAAGTATGAAGGTGACATGTCATGGAGATTTAGAACCTGTGGAGCTTTATCTCCAGTCATATTATATATGCTTTCATTGTGTGGTACAGGGACAAACATACCCGTTAAGTAACAGTGTTTGATCATATGTGGATATTTCTTTGTCATATTGTATTTTTCCCTTTAGTTAATGTGGGAGAAGATTGCCCAGTGTTTGATGGGCTGTATGAGTTCTGCCAGCTGTCGTCAGGTGGCTCAGTAGCAGCTGCCGTGAAGTTGAATAAGCAGGCATCTGAGATCTGCATTAACTGGGGTGGTGGCCTCCATCATGCCAAAAAATCTGAGGCATCCGGCTTCTGCTATGTTAATGACATTGTACTTGGAATTTTGGAGTTGCTCAAATATCATCAGAGAGTTTTGTACATTGACATTGATGTCCATCATGGAGATGGTGTTGAAGAAGCATTCTACACAACAGATAGGGTGATGACAGTGTCCTTCCACAAGTACGGAGAGTACTTCCCTGGCACTGGGGACCTTAGAGTATGTTGTATTATAACTACATAATTATTGTCTCATTGTTGTAGTGTGATCATTTCAATGCTTTAACACTTTCAGGACTGGTTATTTGGATATCAATTTATGTGTAGCTCCTAGACATGTTTTAAGAATATCAGCTTTTCACAAAGAAAACAAATTTAACTCGGATAATTCACATGCATGAGTCATTCAAACTAGAGTGTAGAAGAATATTCAGTGATGATGTATTTTAGTGTCCTGTTGCACTGAATTTCATCCATGATATGTATACAGTTGCCATCTTGTAGTGCACTCAGTTTCACCTATTACTTCACGACATGTTTTGGCAACATAGTGCCATCATCAGGTGCCCCAATTACGCTAATCTATTTCATTGCTTGCCTTTATAAAATTATTTAAAAAGTGCGTATTTGTCAACTATAATAAATTTACACACACTAAAACTTGTTAAGATTATACATCTTATGTGTCATAATTAAAACTTGTGTGTGGTTCTTCCACTATGGGGGTCTGTGTAAACCATGTCTTGTGGTGTGTGTTCCCTTTTTAGCTGCTAGTGTTGTAACACTTGTAACCTTGTATTTTATTTTTAAATACATACCATGTCAAAAAAAAGGATGAAATGAAAGTTTTGAGACAGGAATAAAAATTGTATTTTATATCATACAGTGTTCATGGGTGCATGCGACCATGTGTGTACATATGTGTACAGAGTGATTTAGAGTCCTATGGCTAAAGTTTATGACGATGTTTAGATAATTTGGAGCAGCAAATGTAACCAAACAGTTGTCTAATTCAGCACCATAGTCTTGGTTCTATGTATATTCATGTTCTGAAGCCTTAATAACTTCAGAGAAAATGTTTATACAGTGGAAATAGACACTTGTGATTTCCTGATCAGTTATATCCTAGTAGCTGTGACACAACAGGGGCTAACATAGACTATTTGTTTGTGATAAGAACTCCACTGAGTGTTGCTATGAAGCATGGGTGCAAGCTGGAGAAGGTAATTTTGAGCAGGTTTGTGAAGAAATGTGTAGAACTGTGTGTAGGTCCCCACAGCATAATGGAACAGTTGTGTTAAACATAGCATAAAATTTAAAACTGAAAAGAAGTAAAGGCTTTTGAATCTTTTCTACATTTATTGTAATTAATAATAAATTAAGATTGAATGTAATGAAGTTTTCTTGGAAAGTTGGTTGTGTTAATACAGTGTTAGCTTCTGGTGTTTCAGACTGTCTTTCTCCATCATCAGGAATTAATGTTTACCCCTTCATTATGTACATCCACCATGAAAGCTTGAAGTTGTATGTTAAATGCAAATAACTTGAGGTATACATCAGTTAACAGTTGTATCATTTCGTTACAAAGTGGTGAAGTGTCATAACCCAACAGAAGTGATGAATTGTACAACAGTTACATTTTCTTCCCCAAATTATCCCGCCGCCAGCCTCCTAAAATTTGGCCTTAGGATTTCAACAAACTCCATGTGTATGTATGTGTGCTTACTTGCACATGGGGTTTCATATGAGTTTTCTGTAAAGTTAGTGTTTACATTGACCCGATATCAAAATTAAGTTTAGTGTAGACCTCCAGTACCACAATACCACATTAAATGAAGATCTATGGAGTAGCTTCAGAGGTGAAAATAGTCAAGAGAATTCCACGTATGGGTTCCTTTTGTGCACTTCGTTCAGAGACCTATAAGCACATCTACTGCACAGGCTTTACATGATTTTGCACGGAAGTTAAAATGGTGGAGTAATATAAAAGAAATAAATGTCATGAATTTTGGAACTGAATATTTAGTGTGTCCCTGTTGGTAATGCTTGGTGGTTTCTTTAGGATATTGGCGCAGGGAAGGGAAAGTACTATGCAGTTAACATTCCCTTACGAGACGGAATGGATGATGAGAGCTACGAGTCTATCTTCGTTCCCATCATTTCAAAAGTAATGGAGACATTCCAGCCAAGTGCTGTCGTGCTGCAATGTGGAGCAGATTCTCTGACTGGAGACAGACTTGGCTGCTTTAATCTCACTGTACGAGGTGGGTGACAGGATGTGGTGTGTAGCCTGTATATATGAGGGGTGCATGGAAAGTTAAATTCCAAGGAATTATACACCATCTCTCTATCTATGGCTCTATAGCTCTTTGTTGGGCCTTGACCACTTTTCAGTTTCTTAATCCTATACACAGTCGGTAGGATTCCTTGGACAGGGGATCAGCCCATTGCAAGGCCTCTACCCATACACAGAACAACACAAACACAGAATAAATACACACAGACATCCATGCCTTGAGTGCGATTCTAACCCACGACCTCAGTGTTTGAGCAGGGGAAGACTGTGCCTTAGACCTCAAGGCCACTGTGATTGGCTAATTATGCAGTAGAACCCCTATTTAATGTCCCTTGATTTAAGGTTCTTCATTTACTGTTCACGGGATAGTTTAGTTGGTATAGCAGCTGGCTACAGGCTGGACAACTGAGGGGTTCTGGTTCAAGTCCCAGTAGGGCTAAGAATTATCTCTTCTCCACATTGTCCAGACTGGGTCTGGGATCCACTCAGCCTCCTATCCAATGGGAATGGGGGGGGGCTCTTTCCCTGGGGGTAATGCTGCAGGGGTGTGAAACTGACCACTCCCCCATACACCTTCATGGCATAGTCATAGCACTTAATTAGTTAAGCACAGGGACAACTTTACCTTTTTACTGTTCAGTTTTGATTATCCAAAGTCAAAATAATCTCAGTGTTATAATCTATAATCTATCAGGAAGAACTATCTATAACTATATAACTATGATCTATATAAACTAATCCCTTAGTTTAAAATACTCAACTATTTAAGGTTTATATTCATTGCTCCCCAAATAAACCTTAAGCATGGATTTGATTTTATCTTTAAATGGTGTTCAGATATATTGTTGCGTGATTATGACTGTAGATGAGGTTTGGATTGGTAATCTGATTTATAGAACACTTATGCACACAACTTGTAGCTACAAGGAGCTAGAGCAATGTTGCTAATTCACACTGCAATTCACTACAGCACACGCCTAAGTCTTCTCAGCCTGCTGTATGTTCACCAGTCTTCTGGTACAAGCTTCCAGTGGCACATTCCTCTTCCTCAAGGTTCCCACACTGTCCCCGTGCTTCAGCTACCAACTTCTGATAGCAGCAGCTCACAATGACTGAACTACGGCAGTCCATTCACTCCACTAACTCCCAGGCTGGCAGCCATCTCACACAAACCTCCTCTTCTCACTGCCTTCTCAATACTCCCTCATAATTGCAGCTGCTCCTTGTTATATAGCCTTGGCACGGACCACACAGAAAACACATCTCCCAACAGTTTTTTCAGCTGTATCACTTAGCAATCCCATGGACCATGTAGAGAACATTGCCTCCTAGTTACTCCATTGTTGTGTGTTACAAATCTGTTGTGGCAATTACATAGCAGCTGTTATTGTTTGCAGGACCATTACCTAGCAACAGCAGTTGTATATCTGCTTATTTCACAGTCATTGCTGATCAGTGGATCAGCATGCCACAATATCATCCTACTATAAATATGATTTGTGTAAACTGTTTTCTGCTCAGTTCCTGTGAATTTTGATACACTTAATAATACCATAAGATCAGTTTTCTTAACTCCTATTCATGTCAGCTCTTCTTTGAACCATTTTCACTCCTATTTCCATGTTCTCGGTTTTAAGTATGTGGCTTCCGAAATGTTCCTTGGGTGCATGAAATGAAGACAAAAACTGGTAATGGTATGGATACAATAGTGGAAACAACTGGAAAGAATAGGACCCTACTATGGACAGAAATAAGGAAACTTATCCTGTGGTAATGACATCCTCAGTCTTCATTGGGACTACATAAAGATAGTTTCCTGATACACTGTCACTTCAAACTACTCTTGGTAAAGTGACGAGGTCATGAAGCCGACCATTCACCTCCATTGAGTGCCAGGTTTAAGACTGCATGGAGCTATACCTGAACCATCCCCTATTTCTTCATGGCATTATGCTTGATTAATGGAACACAGGAACAGCTTTACTTTTACCTTTCTACTGGTATATATGATGGGGTACCCAAAAGAAACAGAACTAATTTTTTTGTGGGCAGAGTTTTTGTAGTACCATGCTTCGCCGCTATGAGCGCATAGCGCTAACATTCCTGAGTTGATAAGCCGACTACTGTTGCTTCAGAAGGTAAGGACTAGTTTCGGCAGAGTTTATAGTGACAACTGTTTTGTGTGATCGTCGTTTTTGCAATGGCTGATTTTCGTTAACAGCGTGCGGCGGTGAAATTCTGCTTTTTGCTCGGGAAAAGTGGAACAGAAACTCTTGAAATGTTAAAAACGGCGTACAAGGACGATGCTATGGGGAAAACTCAAGTGTTTGAGTGGTTTTCCCATTTCAAAAATGGTGAAATGTCAATTGATGACAAACCTCATTCTGGTCGTCCTTCCACGGCCCGAACACATGAAAATGTTGAAAAAATTCGTGAAATCATCAAGGAAGATTGACGACGGACCATTGAAGAAATTGTGGAGCTGTCGGGAGTGACTTGGAGCTCAGCGGCCAGATTTGTGGCAGTCGGGTGACTGGTTTTTCC